TGGTCTGCTGGAGACGGTCCCCAGCAGACCAGGGGCACCCCGAGCAGCTTTTCTCGCCCCGGAGGTCGAGGTGGCCGGACCGCTGCGCTCTGGGCGGTCCCGCTGCCTGCGAGCTCCGGGGCGAGAGAGCCCCGTTCGTAAGTGCGGATCCGACATAAGTCGGATCTGCGTAAGTCGGGGACTGCCTGTATATTGTTCTGGTTGTTAAAAAGTAATTTTGCATTGAAAATAAGGAACATTGTTAAAATCGCAGGTATGTTTACATCAAGTATAATTTGTTTTGTTGCAGTTGGGGAGAGAATGTGTTTTTAACTGAAAATTGAGAATTAATATATTTCTGTATGAAGTTAGCTTCAGTTAGATGAGATTTTACTGATTTATAACTATTGTTGCACTGAGGGATGCTTAAGCCTAAATTTGCGATCTGATTACTACTAATTAATTAATTAAACCTCAGTGGAAGTTGCAGATACTACCAAACCTCATCTATCATAGGTGTTTGTTGATTAACATACCACGGAGAAATAAAAACGTTACGCAGTTTAAAGGGGCCAAACCATATATTGTAAAAATTTAAAAGGTACAACAAGGAAATAGGTAAACACTCTTAATATCCCAACCCAAGAAGAAATAGGAGGATAGAAAAGTACCCCACAAACACTAGGTATTACACAGACAATAATTACAATTCCAGTCGTCGACGATGGACGGTGATGCACCTGTCTCTCAAGCCTTTGGCTAATTAAAGCCTCTAGCGAGAGACTAGGAGGCGATCCCTCGCAGCGATGTCCTCTGCGGTGCTCTCGACCTCAAGCCTTAGGCTCCTTCCAAGCCCTTGCGAAGGAACAGAGAGGCGGTCCCTCATAGACCCTGGGGACGGGTGTGATGCAGGCAGGTGGTGAAGTCCTCCTCCGGGGCCTTCCGCTCCTGGACGCAGGATTCACTGCTGGTAAGTTGCCTGGCGCTGTCTTCAGGTGGATTCCGCTCTTCAGCTGGAACCGGCGATAGACGAGCTACTCCTGTACCCAGACTGGATACGTAAAATCCCTATCTAAACTAACACGACGCCTCCCGTTGCGATATAATACCCCGGCCGCTTGAGCATAGAACCGATGCACTATACTAATGGACAGACTCGATGACGAACCTCTAACTAACCTAGCTACCTATAGACATGGACAGGGGATAGGGTGGAACGCTGCAGAAACGAACGAGCAGAGAGTGAACAAGCGGGAAAGGTGAACCAGAACTTAAGTAGTCTCTCTCCATGAATATTTATGAGCTGTAGCTTTAAACTCATTGGACCTTGTTTGGGTAAACAAAGGTCTCTGATTGGATGCCTGAATAAACAGCTTCTAACTGTCTGGGGTGAGTGTACTGTGTGCAGCAGCACATGGTGACATGTGCAGCTACTTGCGTGCCGTGTGCAACAGCACATGGTGACGTGTGCAGTAGAAGCTAGAACTATCTATGTAACTATTCATGACAGTTGTTACATATTCAGCGTCACTGCTCATGCATATTAATGAGAAGGCGGGGACCCCGTTACACTACCTAATGCTAGTTATTTTGTTGGGGTTCTCTTTTTTCAGTCTTGTTGAACCAGCGGTTGCTTGGAGAAATGAATTAGCCAGGGGAAGTTCAGGCTATTTAAGAGGTCCAGAGGGTCCTGAGCCAAATTCAGCTTTTGAGACCTCTAGTCAAAGTAAAAATAAAAAATGACGACACTGATCCAGAGATAGCTGCTAGTCGTGGTTTGTTTATATAATCAGCTGATCTGAGAACACATTAATCACGGTCTATCTTCGTGCCATAAGAACTTATATATTTTTATTAATATTTATGAATATTTTTAACTCTTTAATGTGACAATCTATATCGATTACCAAAAAAAAGGTGTTTTTTTTTTTTTTAATCAAATCACATCTCTTATTTGCTTAAATTTGCAGTTTGAAGCTGAAAGTGTCATATTTGGTCTGATAGGATGTGCATAAAAACAAGTTGCAAAACTTATCAAAAGCAAAAAAAATTAACAAGTGTCTAAATTTGAGGCCTCTTTTGACCTTGAGGCCCAGGTCAAATGGCCCTGTTGATGATCTTTGACTAAAAGGATAAACCAGCTGAGTATTGGAGTGGATAGTGTCTCAACTACCAGGAGGATATTAATAGATAGATATTAATTCAGAAATACTTGTGGGAAAATTCTCTCAGATAACATCAGTTAAGATTTATCATAATCTTATGTTTTTGATTAGTGTTGTGTGTGACTGTATAGAGAAGAGGTCCCTAAACTGTGGAGTTTGACCCTGTAGGGGAACACAGAGAAACAACTAGGATGGTGCAGCAGGGCCTGGGCCAGTCCTCACGGGGGTGGGAGTTCACCCAGCCCTATTCTGTTCCAGCTCTGCTCTGGCTGTGGTTCTGACACCACCTCCCAGTCTTGGTCCCAGACCATCTACTTCCTGCCCTACCCCTTTTGCAGCCACAGCCTTGGTTCCCTTATCCCCTCTTTGCTCCAGCTTGGGGCAGGGACAAGAGGAGGTGTGACTGAAAAGTTTGGAGACCACTGGTAGAGAGAAAATGAAGACTTGGTCTATGCTTCCTGAACCTTACTGTGGTCAGTATACTAGTTTACCTGAAACCAAGCTTGGAGACATAATTCATCAGATGAATATTTCTATCAGGAATCTTCAAAGTAATCCCTAAGATGACTTAACAAGGATGATTTTAAGATGGTTGTGTCCCTTTAATGTAAATGACTTAATGGTTTGAGGTGGTGTATGCTATGAGAAACTGAGTCTGAAGCAGGTGTACAAGGTAATACAGCTTTTTAAAGAGATGCAAACAAATTTAAAAAACATTCTTTTATATTCTGTCACTAAAAACCTAAAAATCTCTCTAAGTTTAAAGGAAATGTTTTCAGTTTAAGTGGATTAGACAGCTCTTTCATGTGCCATTTTCTTTAGTATAGTTGTCTTTTTGTGAATTTTTCATGAGTTTTGTAGTAAACATCTTAAATAAGAGAATTTGAATACTACTTTTAAGTAATTTTTGAGGTTGACTATATTTCTCCTTTTAATATAAATAAAATTCAAGCACATGTCCATCTTAACATATATGTGAATAATAGTTTTATTTTGAATAATATGTTAGACAGCATTTCAGTTTTACTAGTAAACTTGTGAGTTGACATTACCATTTTAACTTATTGTTCAACTCCCTGTTTAGATTAAAATGAACAAATATATAACGCAGAATGTTATCAGTGATGGCAAACTGTTTTCCAAATCTATAAATCTTAAAATGTAAGTTGTGAATTTTTAAATAACACTGTTGACTAACTTTAACTCTTAAAATTGTGTGAGTACATGGTACTTAACTTGGCATTTTTTTTTTCTTAGAAAACTATTGGAGTGTTCAAACCAAAATCTGAAGAGCCTTATGGTCATCTGAATCCAAAATGGACCAAATACTTTCACAAGATCTGTTGTCCTTGCTGCTTTGGCAGAGGCTGCCTTGTTCCTAATCAGGGATACCTTTCTGAAACTGGTGCCTTTCTTGTGGACACCAAACTAGGATTAGGAGTTGTACCTAAAACTAAGGTAAAAAAGTTGTGTGTGCAAAAAACAAAAGATACAGTATTGGAATGTAAAATCAATGAGTATTTTATCTCTAATGTATGTGAGAGAGAAACTAATATTAGAGAAAAAATTTTAATATGTATTGCATGCACCAATGGAAAAGGGATAGATAGAAACTGAATGGGAAGAGGAATAAATTGTGTTTAACCACTCTAGCATGCTCCTTGGCAGAAACTGTAACTAAACCAAGGCATCCTGAGAAAGGGAACCTACATTTCTTTAGCTGTTAAACCCACCAGCAAAGTACACGCCTCATCCCGTTCCAGTGGTTGGTCCACATAGGAAATAATGCCCACTCTTGCTACCAGTTGTACCTACTCAGGTCATGAGGTCTGCACTGTGGATCATCTTGCTGATGATCAGTGTGGGAGATCATTATGATTTTGCATGATCACATTTTTTTAGTTAAAAAACAGACTAGGAAAGTGCATAAAAACACTAATGTTATTTTAAGGTTGCAAATTCAAGCACTCAGAAATTAAAGATTGGCCTTGCAGCTTTAATTCATCCCCTTTTGCAAATGCATTGAGAGATGGTCTTTAATTATATGATCATACTACTTTTTCTTCAAAACCACTTCCTAATTCAGTTCTGTAAAATACTACCGTCTCTGAAAATGTAGTGCCTAGATTTCTAAAGTTTGGCACCCAAAATTAATGGCCATTTTGGACAATTTTGGCATTAATCCATGGATGGGCAAAATACAGCCCACCCAGCAAATTTGTCTGGCTGGCTCAGCTAATTATCTGATTAGCAGAACTTAACAGCAACATGTGTTCAGCAGCCTCTCTCCTTACCTTGCTCTGTCCTCCAGCCAAGCTGCTTGCAGAACTTTCTTCCTAGCTGTGTGAAGGTGGGAGATGAACAGGAAAAGGGAGTGCTCCCAGTCTCTGTGGCACCTACACAAATCTGTGTTGAAATCTGTCTCTCTCACATTCTCTCTCTTTCTTGACCCCAGTCTTGCTACTTCTGCCAGATGCCCCTTCCTGTATAGTCGCCTGGAGCTGGCCCCTGATGCCTTACCAACCCCTTGAAAAATTATTTCCCATCCCTACATTAATCTCCCCAAGTCTACATTCCCCAGCCATAAAATGGGTTACCACCACCTACTTTCATGGCAGTATTATACAGACATAGTCATTAATGTTTGTGAAGCATTCAGACACTCATGAAGGCACCATAGAAATGCCCATGAGAAACTACCAATTTTGTATGCAGTACAGGGTCTGGATGGTGAGCATAAATAAGATCTGGGGGAGAGACATTGAATTAGAGGATGAAAATTTTTCAATAATTATACATTCATTGAATGAAGCAGAGGTCATGGGAGGAAAAACAGTATAGAATTATATTAGATCAGCATAATTTGGCCTCCTTTGACATGTGCATAAGGTTAGTAACTTTAATTTATCTCCAGATTATCAAGTGCTTAACTTTGCAACTTAAATATTCTTTTAATGTAGCTCTTTAAATATAACAGCAATGCAAAGTATTTATTTTAAAATGGAGGGCTGGTTCTAAGTACTGTCCTCTACTATTTCCTGGCCTGTGTATACTTTTAAATTTTCCATCCTCTCTAATGTTGCATATGTGTAACTGTTGTTAAATATGGTTATTTGGCATATTTGATTTTTAGAAAAACCTTATTGTAGATCTGCAATTGAAGTGACTATCCAAGTTAAAATATGGCTCAACATTGCTTATTTTTAAGGTTGTCTGGCTTGTCAGTGAGACCTTTAACTACAGCACAATAGATCGTGCCAAATCAAGAGGGAAAAAATACGCTTTAGAAAAAGTCCCAAAAGTTGGGAAAAAATTCCATCGAATAGGACTGCCTCCTAAGGTAAGTGCTTTTGAAAAGTTTTACATGATACTATTTTGTTAATGCATTATCCATTCAAGATACTTACTTTGCTAAATCTAAAAGAGGACATTAATAAGTAGTTTAAGCCACAGAAGATGACCGCTTCTGTTCTTTTGCTGTGCCCAGCATTGTGAACCCAGGTCCAGGCCAAACCACCTTTGCGTTCACACATCAATTGAGCTAACTCACGGTCTCATGATCTTTTAGGGTTGGAGGGTTTGAGCCCATATTAAGCTAAGATGTAGGGTCCAAGAAATAGTCTTTTGCTAGGTGCATGCAGCCCAGTTTTGACTCAGGTTCCAGAAGTATCAGTTCCTGAATGCAGAGGAGCAGAACTGGAGACAGCCAGGGCAGAGGCCAAAAGTGACATTATTAGCTAGCTATTCTTGTCTACTCATGGCTGCATGGAGCATGCCAAGAGCAGGGAGCAAAGTGGGAATCAGTTCCTGATTGCCAGGATATTGGGATTCATCCCTCCCCTGCCTGTGTTGACCCAGGAACCCCAATGTTTCCCCTCACTGAAGGTGAGCTGTTTGATCCATGTTCTGTTGTCGGGCCCTCCAGTGCCCTAGCTGTGGCTGTGTGTGTGGGGATACCCAGGAATACACACTCTCAAGGTGGCAAATGGGTTTCAGACCCAGAACTTCTACACAATCTCCTGTGATAGTGGCTTTGGTTTCTCTTTGCTGCTGTGCAGAATTTTCCCAGGACAGAGGGCAAAGCTGATAGTGGGAAGCAGCTCTTGGGCTGCCAGGATATTTGTAGGTCATCCCTTCCCCGGAAGTGCCGAGCCACACTCCATCTACCTTCAGGGTAGCTGCTTAGTCCCTGCTCTACTCTCTGGCCCTTGGTCCCAGGCACTGCCTTCCCTGGGTTACATGTTCAGGCACACTCAGGTAGCATACACTGTGATGGCATTGAGTGGGAGCCAGCCCCAAATCTTGCCTGCAGCATCCTGGGGATCCCTTATTCCTATATCTTAGGGTGCAACAGAGAAGAGGATAAGGGATCTACACGGGGTGATGGAGCACACTGTATCCCAAGCTTTGGGTATGCATTCACCACTCTGCAGTGAGCAGCAGCCAGATTAGAGGGCAGAGAGGTATGTTTTTCCTCTGACATTTACATTTTATGTCAAACTTCCAAGCAAACAAAAGGAAAAAAAAATCAACCAAATGAAAATACTTTAATTGGACTGCTTATTGTAAATATTAAGAATTGCACATTTTATATTCATCATTTATAGCGCTAAAGACCAGTGTCCTAATTATCCTCAGAACAGGTGCACATATGGGCATTTTCCTGCCAATGTGACTCAGCCTAGAGGTTGGGAGCATAGTTCTCAGATTAGATGGTAGTTCAGGATAAAGGCTTCTCAAATTGCACTCATTCTATTGGGATAGCCATCAAAGGAACTAATTATGAAGATTGTGTACTCCTTATGGCACCATAATCAATAGCACCACAACAGTTAACAATTAGGAAACAAAGTGGAGTGTTCCTAAACAGTAGTTTTCCTACAGTGCTCCGTATTCCTAGGGCTACACTCCCAATATGGGGAAGGGAGAAGAAGGTGGAGTGCAAGGCACTTTGAATATATTCACTTTGACTTGGGTGCACAGCAGTGTGAATGCCAGAGCCTTGGGTACAGACAGAAGTCAGAACATTTTTAGCCTAGGGCTACAATACAGTAGATGCTAGGGATGTGAAAGTATAATTGTGTACATGGTTAACCCATGAGTCTGGGTTCATTGGTTAATGTTCACGGTTACATGCAGAAACACCCCTCTTACACCTCACCCCGCACTGCTGCCACTGTGTCAGACAGCAGCGCAGAGGGGGCAGGCAGGGACTGGTATGTGTGGGGAGCTGCCCTGTGCCCCATCCTCCCTCTGTATAACTACTGAAATTTTTAGCAGTTACATGTTAACTTGAATAAATGCATTTTAACATGCCTAGTAGATACTCAAGGCCAGGGTTCCCTGACACTCATCAACTGACTTGAGTCCCACTGATGCTAGGCTTACATCGCTGTGTAGATATACCCTTATTCAGCAGAAGAGCTGCCAGGCTTGGGGTAGATATAAGCAAACTTCTGTCCATACAGCATATCGTATTTTAGCCCTTTATTTAAATGTCTCTTATGAGTTGATGGTACTGCATCATTTTACATCTACATGTTCTACCAAAAGTATTCTAAAATGTACTGCTTCCACTCTGTATGGGTTGTTGACATGTTGTTTCTTCTAGGGTTTTTTCTCCCACTTTTGTAATCTATTTTCCATTCAGTATCCCTTCTTCATTGTGTAATAATTGCATTATCTTTTCTCCACCTTTCTTCTGGTGGGTGTTCTCATCCAACTATTTTGTGTCATTCCTTTCCTCTCTTGGATTCCCCTTGTCTACATAATCCCACCTTAATTTTATTTTCTATAATCTTCTTTCTGCCCAATCAAAACCTCACATACTACTTCCTCACCCATAAATCATACTCATGCTGTTCTTGAATCCCCAGAATCTTACAACAGTGCGCTCTCACAAATCAAGCAAATACACTCACTCACTCTCCTCCGTTGTCTGCTCACATGTAAGCTACCTACGACAATGCTCCAGATGACATTTGTTACACATACATTTCTCAGAAAATGTATCCACCTATATGCATGCATAGCAATATGCAGCCTGTCCTTCTGAATACAAGCACAGCTTCTTTCTTCTGCATGTTTTTTGGGTGTGTGTGTGTGTGTGTGTGTGTGTACACGTACACACACACACACACACACAGCCTTCTTTCAGAGTTTTCTTCTTCCTCAGATATAATTGTGGAAATGATTTTTGGGGTCATGAAAAAATACGTAAAAAAGTGTGGTGGTATTGCTGCCAGTTCTCTGATTCAGACATGAAAGGAGCATATTTGTGAGTGTCACTTGTTCTCCAGTAACTTTAGTGTTTTGGATGAGTTTATCATGAAACACTAAGCCAGGTGTCACTCATGTTCACTTTGAGAAGAACAGCAGCTTTGGGAGTGTCTACAGCTACTTAAACTTTTTTGTTGCTCTAAACACGGACTATAACTGCGAACACTCAACCCACTGAACTGTGTTGTGTTTGGTAAATATAGAGCAAATTATTTAGCAGAAGCAGAAAACATGTTTTGACTGAAATAGAGCTGGGACATTTCAGAGATCGAAAAATAAGTTTTCAGAATTTACCAAGATCGTTCCATATAGAAAATGTCTGGTCTAGAAATCAGGATCTACACATACAGTCACTTCAGTTGCTTCCATAATGTCTTCTCTTTTGCTTTGAAACATGTCTGTTTTCCTTTTGCTATCTCTTGTACGGCTCCTGAAGTTGTTCCAGATTGACAATATTGGATTGCTTTTAAGTTTTACCATTATAATAATTTAAGTTGTTGTTTTTCTTTCAGTAAATATAATTTATCAATATGCTTGGTATGTTTTGTGTTTGAGTATTCAAGTATTCTGTTCTGACCTACTGCTTACCAACCTAAGCCTCGAGTGCTATTCTGGTATAATATTCCAATTATAAAAAAATCTGAAGTTGGAAAGAGTTCATTTGTATTTGAACTTATAAAATGTGGTTATTTAAAATCTGGAGCATGGGACTATTTTGTAGATTTAACACTTTCTATGGCTTACTCCAGGTAGTGCTGCCAAACACTTCTTGTGTTCAGAACTCAAAAGGACATTGTCATTTTTTTCAGTTGACTTTTAAACTTCATCTGTTTGACATTTTCTAAATTCAGGTTCTTAAAATTTCAGGTTGGCTCCTTCCAGCTGTTCGTTGAAGGATATAAGGAAGCTGAGCATTGGCTCAGGAAATTTGAAACCGATCCTTTACCTGAGAATACTAGGAAACAATTTCAGTCACAGTTTGAGAGATTGGTTGTTTTAGATTATGTCATCAGAAACACAGGTATTTAATATACTGTCCCTCTGTTGATATCTGCTTGCTTATTTGAATCTGAAATTGAGTGAAAGTAGCATTCTAATATATTTCACAAATCTGAAACTCATTTGCGGATCAACTTGTGAAATCTGTAGTAGCTACAAAAGTGAGGTCTTTGAAATTTATCAAGTATCCTAGTAGCCATTTATGCAATTTTTGGTTTTTTATAAGGCACACCAAAGGGTAGAGCAATACTTAGCTATTCAAGCACGCAACTCTACCAGGGATTAGCCTTTTGATATGATTTGGGGACATTTGGTCTCTGGTTTCTCCTCGATTACTGGCAGAAGGAAGGCTTCCAGGACCTGTGCTCTTAAGTTCCCCTTCCCAAATCCTAGTCAAGTTGTGAGAGGCACACTGCGGTTTCGAGACCACTTAACTCAGAAGAGGAGCAACATCTGCTACCAGATCTTTTTGCTAGGTGGAAAAAGACAGCAATCTAGTTGCACATCTCTTCAGAACTGGTCCTTTTTGGCATGAGCAAGTGCTGGAGGAGGACTATGAATTTGTCTCTCATCATCTCCTGCTGAGCAAACATTTTTCTTTGTACAGGTTGAACCTCTCTAGTCTGGCACCCTCAGAACCAGTGCTGAATATTTTGAATATTTTGAACAGTGCCGAACCAGAGTATTTGCCGAACCATGGGAGGTCAATATTGTCTAGAGCATTACCAACATTTCTGCTGCTTACTGTGCTTTTAGAAGACATTTACAGATAAATGAAAGCTAAGTAACAGCACAGAATACTGAAAGCCAGGACTTATGGCTATAAACAAACTTTATGGGACCGCAGGAATCTTGGCCACACTCAGGATAAATGGACATCCGGATAACTAAAATTATACCAGACCATGGATGTTGCCATACCAGTGTGTGCCAGAATTGAAAAGTTCAACCTGTAGCTAGAGGCTAATGTTCTGTTGCAGGCTATGCAGGTGTCCAGTTTCCTCATGAGCATGAAGATAGTTGGTATGTACATTTCCTCCAGTGCTTTGCCAGTAGAGGCTTGCTTCCTTTTGCTCTTCTACTGGTATTACCACTGCAATTTCCTTTTCCCTTCCTCCCCTATTAGGGATGTAACAGACTCAAAGAAAGCCTGTTGAGAATATATATCACTTTAAACTCCCTGAAAGAAAAAAGTATGAAGATAAGGATATCATTGTGGTTTTTGGTCACTGTTATGGTTTGGCAGGCAATTTCCAAGCTCAATCCCAGTGTGTTCAAACATTTATGGATTTTCATGGTCTGTTTCATATTACTTTAAAGAGAACAAATTAAAAATAGAACATGCAATGTAGCATCCACACAACCAAATTATGTTCAAAACTACCAATTTTGGAACAGCAAAAGGTTCTAAGTTTGGATATTTATGGAAAACCTACGAAGGCTTTAAGTACACCAGCTCTGTCCCCACACAATCCCTTTCTACCCAGCACATTTTACAACATGCTGTTGTGTCTTCCTGGTAGAGAATGGTTACTCCTGGGGGAATTGTGCACCATATTGTAAATATTTTGAATATTTGGGGTGGGGGGAGGGATAGCTCAGTGGTTTGAGCATTGGCCTGCTAAACCCAAGTTTGTGAGTTGAATCCTTGAGGGGGGCCACTTAAGGATCTGGGGCAAATCTGTCAGGGATGGTCCTTGGTCCTGTTGTAAGGGCAGGGGACTGGACTCAATGACCTCTAAAGGTCCCCTCCAGTTCTATGAGATGGTATATCTCCATATATTTTGTCAAAATAAAACAATATAATCATTCCAGTTACAATTATTTTGGTAATTTGTTTAAAAATGCCTGTCAGCGAGTATGTCTGTAACAAAACAGACAACAAAAAAGACTCGGGAAATGTTTTTTTCACAAATAGATTCCTTACTAGGCATATTAATAGCATTTTGAGTAATAATTCATTTAAAGTAAATAAAGAAACCTATTTCTTGCACCCCTCAGAAGCAGTGTAAAGATTGAGGGAGTTGGGCCAATGGAGGAGTGCCAGCCGACGGTCAGGGCAGTGTGTGCGTGTGTGTTACACCCAAGTCTTCAACTGCTGAGACACAAAGTCTCGTTGCAGCGGGCAGCCTAGGAGGCTGGAGGGCACCCTGAAAAGTAGTTTAACGTCCGTGACTTTACTGCTAGGACCGAGGTCCCGTCGCAGAGGGTAGCCAAACAGGCTAACAGACGCCCCAGTGTGTACAGGAAGAGCTTATTACGCTTCAGATTTTAGCTGCTAGAATTTCATAATTCCTTCGCAGCGGGCAGCCTCGGGGAGACTGAGAAGCGCCCCAACTGAATTTTGTCACCTGGGTGTGACACAAATTCAAACGCCCAAGCTCTCCCTATATCTGTCCCTTTATGACCGGCTGAAGTTCTTTTGTTTGTGTTCGGTTCGGGTACAGCAGCACGGGTTCAAGTCAGAAGCTTGACACGCACTGGCTTATTTATAGGAGAAAGAAAGAGAAAAGAAATAAAGAAACTTGGTTCAGTGTATATAGATATATATATTTTATAAGTGAATGAGGGCACCCCACTTGTTCCCAAAGTTTATAGCAAAATCACCTTACCAAAGGTGATTTACAATAGAAATGAAGCAGTTTGACTTTAAGAAAACTATAATAAAGTAACTAACTTACAACAGAGAGACAATTAGAGTGTACACATAAAGAAAACACATAGCAGGTACAATTCTCACCCCTGCGTTCCAGACTTGGCGTGGCCAGCGTCTTTCTCTCAATCCCTCGGGAAGAAGTAGGGCGAGGTTGGGCGTCCCACGGACCTCGGGAGACAATCAATACCTGCCAGCAGGTGTAGGTGATTGGAGCTCAAATTGGGTGGGCAACTCAACCCTCTTTATACCCCTTGGGTCACATGGGCTTCTTCCTGGTCTTAAGTGGCCAATCAGGAAAAATGGCTTTGAATGCCAAGTTTCCCACGAAGGGTGCAAAGCATAATTCACACCTGGGAAGATGCAGACAATGGGCACCTCTGGTATGTGATGGGCGAAGATTCCTCTCCCGAGACAGTGCAGGCGTGTCAATTACTGATACTAGCCATCACGGCGACGGGAGGCCTCCCAGTCGTCAGCTAGCCCATTTACTGTCTGGTTTCTGTTTATGGTAGAGTCAGGGACAGGCACCACACCTGCGTTCCCAGGGCATCAAAGGCTGACTGCCTTTCTCTTGCTCTCTGGGGGGGGAAAAACAAGATGGGGCTCGTGGAAAAACAAGATGGGGTTTTTGTGTCTGGCTACAAGGAGCTGCAGGAGAGGGAAGTAATTACTGGGAAGGAGTCTGAGTGTGAACCTGGAGGGCTGTTTTGGTTGTTTAATTTTTTAGCGGAGAGAAGGATTAGTTAAGGATTCATGGAGTCTCCTCCATGTGGACTGTTGTTAATCCCCACCCTTTTTCATTCAGTCACACACTTCTGCCCTTGTCCCTGTGTGTCCCTTACCCCTTCTCAACCACCCTCACTCTCCCCATCCTCATGTAGGCCTGTACCTCCGTTCCCATTCAGCCCCTATCTCAGTGTTGTCACCCTACTAGCGCCCGTGACTCCCTTTGCATGGAGTCTCCTCCATGTGGACTGTTGTTAATCCCCACCCTTTTTCATTCAGTCACACACTTCTGCCCTTGTCCCTGTGTGTCCCTTACCCCTTCTCAACCACCCTCACTCTCCCCATCCTCATGTAGGCCTGTACCTCCGTTCCCATTCAGCCCCTATCTCAGTGTTGTCACCCTACTAGCGCCCGTGACTCCCTTTGTTGCCAGTATCCTTTGCTGCCTCCATCTGGCCTTATGGGTAGAGTGTTGAGGAAGGAAACCTCTCACCTCTCTCTATGACTGGCTGCTCCATCCAGCCCATGAGCTAGCTGTCCTCTCTTCTCATGCCACATAATCCCTGGTGGGTGAAAGATATAACTGCAGCTTTCCTTTGCCTCCCCATCAGAATCAATTATTTTGTGGCAGTGAGGGAGTGAATCTGTAGGGATGTTAATTCTGTGCTTACACAGTGATGCAGAATTTTCTCAGGAGATCTTTCCTCATTGTGTGCTTAGCTAAATATGGCTATGTCTACACTCGCGGCTTCTTGTGCAAGTATGGCCGTTCTTGTGCAAGAATCCTCAGAGTGTCCACACTGCCCGTCCTCTCTTGTGCAAGGAAATTTACAGTACGGCATGGTAAGAGAGGGCTTCTTGCGCAAGAGCTACACTTTTTTTAAGAGGTGTAAGCCCTCTTGCACAGGAGCTCTTGCGCAAGAGGGCAGTGTGGATGCTCGGCAGGGATTTATTGTGCAAGAAAGTCATATGGCTAAATGGCCATCAGAGCTTTCTTTCCCAAGAGAGTGTCCACACTGCCATGGGTGCTCTTGCGCAAAAGCACAGCTCGCACATGGCAGTGTGGACATTTTCTTGTGCAAGACTTCTTGCACAAGAACCCTTGCGCAAGATGTGCTTGCGCAAGAAGCCACCAGTGTAGACATAGCCCATGGGTTATAGAAGATGGCTCCTTTCCCCACCAGTAGCCCAGAGCCATATTTCTGCCACTCCTACTGACACTTTTTCCCTTCAGCCTTGATTGGAGAGAACACCCATGATATAGCCATCTTACTCCCAGAAAACAGGCTCAAATGCATTCTGCTGACTTTCCTGATATTACATGGTTTGCTCAGTCTGGGAAGCTAAGCTGAACTAGTAGTGCATAACTCAACACAATATTTGAATTAATAACATGAAAAATGTACATCTTTCCAGTTAATCTGATATTAGCTTTTTCACAAACTCTGAAACAAGTGTTTTTTGATAGAAAACATTTTTGTGATATTTTCCCTTGTTCTTCTAACATGTATCTTTGTTTTACAATAAAAACTAATTGTTTTACAATATTATTTTAAGATCTGGTAAGTGTAAAAGACTTGCAAGTTCTCACAGGAATTTTTGTTTTCCTTTTTTTAAGATAGGGGCAATGATAACTGGTTGGTTAGATATGAAAAGCAAGAGGCTGATATTGATCTTTCAGATAAGGTAAGACTCTTTTTCAAAACAAGTAATTTCACTCCTAAAACTTGAGCAGTTTAGCTGAAAAGCTGATGCACAATGCCTTCACATGGAATGTAATAGTGTATTCCTGGTGAAGTATGTGGATGCATCCTTGTCAAATATTACAGACTGCCATATATACGTCAACGAATGGACTTCATGTGTAACTAAACAAGTGGAAGCAACATTTTGCAGTTCGTGTACTATAACAAAAAAGCTGCGTGCTCACATATAAATGCAATAGATTAGCTCAGTGTTTCCCAATTGGTGCCCCGGGGTTCTGTGAAACGAAAGTAAGGGTTCCGCAAGAACGTGGCATTGCCCTGCCCCCTCTTAAAGAGACAGTATTTTGCAGGGTTTTTTGCTCCATCAATTCTTTTTTTTTTTTTTTTTTCTTGCCAAATTTTACCCTGGGAACTTATTTTAAGCTGAAAAGGGTTCTGTGGCCAAATAAAATTGGGAAACACTCGGTTAGCTACTTCATTGATATGCTCTGCTCATCTAATACTTAATACTTGGTTTTGTTGATTTAAGTGAGATCCTTCAGGCTGTCTTGATATAGCTGATCTTGATTATTTATGCTGTCCATAAAGGTGAATAAGTGACTCCAAACCTTATGCACCTGACTTTTGGCCTTATTTTGAGTATACCCACTTACTGCCTTGACTTTTGTTGTTGTTGTTTAGTGTAAAGCACTTGTAGTGCTGTTTCTAAACCAGCTATATTTAAAAAACTGTAATGCAGTTTACTGCGTAGTTGTGTATACTGTATGCATATTTCAGTTGCTACTAACTTGAAAATGTCTTATCCTAGGATATCCAATGGACTGCTAGTAAAGAACCTGTTGTTCAAATTGCAGCAATTGATAATGGCTTAGCTTTTCCCTTTAAACATCCTGATGAGTGGAGAGCATGTGAGTATTGAGTTCTTTAATATTTAGTTTTAGGAAATCACTGTCTTTGGACTGTAATCCTAGTCTACTTTCACCACAGTAACTTTTGTTTTTATTAAACAATGGTGAATTTTTTTCCCTAAGAAGATAAGCAAAGATAGAGTGTGGCCTTTTACTGTGTTTTTTGGAATGTATTTATGCTTTGTTTGTAGTTCGGATGTGTTGTTTTTTCATCCCACTACAAGTGAGTGGTTACTAATATGATGCATCAATATTAATACATACTTACATAATTGGGGTTAGAAGAACTTGAGGGATGCATCTTTCATGCACACTTTCTGCTTGCTGTCAGAATTTCTTAAGTGCTAAGATTCCTAGATTATTTCTATAAATGGGAATGGCCCTATTTCTTCCTATTACAAAACCAAGCTAGTCTTCATTCTTTTGTAATGCTTATTGAAATTAGTAGACAAATACAAAGTGACACAACTTCAGTCTTATTTTGTTGTACAGAGGCTGGTGTAATATTTACCTGGGATAGTTTTGAAAAAACTTAAGTACAGTGGATGCTGGTTAATACCAACCCCAATCTTAGATTTTGTTTAAAAGCAACATTTTGCTAAGAGTTGATCCCTAATGGGATTTGGCTCTGGCTTTAGGTATGCTGCTTATTAACATTTTCCTGAAGGAAGGCTCTGGCTGCAGTCAGGGAAGTGGGATGTACCAGGGTCTGGCTGCAGGCTGGTGTGTGAGCATGCCCCCAAACTTCCTTCCTTAGCTGCAGCCCTACAAACCTGCCTCCTGTTTTTAGGCAAATTTCAAGCAATGTAACTCTTTGCTGAGAACTGAGATAATGCTAAGTGGAAACCCACTGTATTGTAATACTAAAATTAAGGAGCATTACTATATTTCAGTTCAGTATACATTTTATTAATCTCAACACATAAGATTCTACAGGTTGGACAAGATTGGTGCACTGCTACATGTAGGACTTGAATGTATTTCTGTGTGCTTCAAAGCCTTAGCTCTGGAGTGCAGAGCTGCTTTTTAAATAAATATGTAACTTACATAAATTTCATCTTCTGTTCTTTCACAGATGATAGCAAGGTCTTTTCTCAGTTCTAGAGTTAATATTTTTTATTTTTCAAACTATTTTTAAGAAAATATTTTAGTAAATTAAGATTGACCTTTTCTTAAAAAGGTAGTAGATTTGATTTAAACATATATTCTGGAAGTAGTGTTATTTGATCATAGACAATATTTCAGTCTAAGACAAACTATATAACTGATGGGTAGAGAGAGAAGTCAAGACTATTTTATTTTGGAATAAGTAACATTTTTAATTTTTATTTATTTTCATAAATATTTGTTGATGATACTCTAATTATATTTTTAAACATCTTCCGTTTTCCCTGAAAAACTAACGCTCTTATGCCCCTCTAATTTAATTTGTACTTTGCGGGAAAACACAGTAAATATCATAGTGGCAAACAAATTTGGGAATATGATATAAGTGAATAGCCTTTGGTAACTTTTGAGTGACAACTTAGTATTTTGATACCTAATAGCAAGTTATTTCCTAAGATTTCTGCCCACAGCAGATCATTTCATTCTAACTTCTACCTGTTAATTAATCAAGAAATTAAACTGTTTTCCCATTAGATCCATTTCATTGGGCTTGGCTTTCTCAAGCAAAAGTTCCTTTTTCCCAGGAAACCAGAGATTTGATTCTCCCTCGTATTTCTGACATGAACTTTGTACAGGATCTTTGTGAAGATCTTTATGAACTATTCAAGGTGAATAAGAATTCATTTTTAATTGAAAAGGGCTAGCTATCTAGTATATGTGGAAGGAAAACTTAATTGTTAAAAGTTAATTTAGAAACTTGTAGTATTTATTTATTTCACAGTATATTGTACTATTTATACTTCACCTCTAATGGTAAGATGGCAAAGGGGGGTACATAGACACAGCAGTGATACATTCTTCTCTGTAAATGTATGCCCTGTACTTTGCATGAAATATTAGAAATTGATGGTAATCAACTTGATTGATGGGTAAGAGCCTCCTTTCTTACACTTAAATTTTATTCCATCAATTAAAAACACTAACCTAATAACTAAAACCTTCCTTTAAATCCATTTGCCACTTTAGATGCCTGGCAGCATGCACTTCAAATAAACAGTAATAACTTGATAAAATTAACTTAATGTAATAAGTTGTTAGTCCAGCTGCTACATATTTAAAATACTTCAATGTACATGTGCCTTGAAAGTGATAGAAAAGCCTATAGGTCTCCATTATTGAATAGAATTCAAGACAGAGATTGTCAGCTTTATTTTAAGATATTAAAATTATGTGTTGTCATGAAAACACTCCTTTTATACTCTGTTTATTTGAAGCATTGCACACAACTATAGTTTTGGTAAAGGGGACATAAACAAAGTCTAGTCTTGATGAATGTTCCAAATGACCATACGGAGGAAGGGCATTTAGCCCAGTGCATAACCTGCTTTTCTAAAAATGCAGTTCTGATTGGAAAAGTATGGTCCTGACACACATTCTTTAATATAATTTTGTTTGACTTAAAATGATTGTAGTGTTTTAAATCAAAATTGGCACTAACTAGCTCCCATTGTGCCAGAAATGAAAGGATTTACAGCCCTTTTTCTCACATATGTAGTTTCTGCACATTGAGTTTGAGTAACATTTGTGGGAAGGGGGTTTTAAGCTTGCACTATTACTGCTCATGCTGTTCCTTTTATATCTTAAAGGGTACTGTCAACAAAAATATTTCACTTAAAACTAAAACTTTACTTTTTGAAATTCTTTAACACTGATAGTGTCCAAGTCCAATCTCGCCTCTTTCATGGGCTCTACACTTAATTTTATAATTGCTTTTGTACATGGTATTTCCTTTCTGGTTATGGTTTGTTTCCATCATAAACTTTAGAATTGTACATAAGATCAGTTATATTCTTAGAATAAGATTGTGTTTCCAAATGCATCTAAGAATGGTTAAATGTTTTGAAAGTAACTGCTGTGTGTTTATTTTTAATAAAGACAGATAAAGGATTTGACAAGGCTACTTTTGAAAACCAAATGTCAGTGATGAGGGGACAGGTATGGCTGATTTTTAAATTGCTTATGACCCATTTAAAAAAAGACCATTTAGTGATATATTTAAGATTGTTGCTGTATTTCTTAAGTTGTCTTATTTTTCAGCTATACTAAAACTAACTGCTGTTAAATTGAAAGGGACTTATGGGTAATTAATATATCTGAAAAACCTAGCCAAATGGCCATGAAGATTTAACTTACTATTTCATTCATAGAGGGTGTTACAATTCATTAGGATAGAAATGAGGCAGCAGGGACGTTTATATTGATGTTGGTCTTTGTGTTTTGCAGATCAAGAAATTATATTTCTGATGCTATTAATGTAGCATTTCTAACAAACTTGAATAATTCAAAATCAAATCTCAGTAAAAGGGTTTTGTGAACTTTCAACAAAATATAGTGTGCAACATCTATGCATTTTATAAATGTGAGTCTGTTTGTTAAAGAACTCCTCCTAATTAGTAAGAGTTGGGACCACCAGATTTGTTGTGCAGCTTCCTCTTATCCTAACTTAAAGCAAGGTCAGGCTTTAGTTGTGCCAGGAAAATGGGAAATATTGGGAATGGGGCTATTCTACAGTGGTTCACAAACTTTTTTTATACCATGGACCAGTAAACCCATTCACAGACTTTTGGTGGACTCGTAACATTTTATTTGGGTATTTAGTATGCAAATAACAAATATGCAGATGTGTAGATAAAATGTTACCGGTTCACCAAAAGCCCTGGCCCCCAAGGCTGCTGTGAACAGCCAACTTCAGCCGGGGCATTTGCCACATGGAGGGCAGCTGCTGCAGCTGAAGCCTGCTATTTGCGGTGGCTCTGGGGACCAGAGCTGGGGTACACCCTGGACTCTGAGCCCCTCCAGTGCCAACCCTAACCCCTAGAACTCCCCCACCCCTCCACTACCCACCAGCGCCAGCCACTGACCCCAGAGTCCCCTACACCCAACCCCCCGTGCCAGTTCCCCATTCCAAATGCCTCAGTGCCCCTTAAAGCCCCCCAGCACCACACCCCAGTGCCAGCCTGCTGTTTCCAGAACCCCAATGAACCCAACCCTCCCAGAGCTCCTAGTGCCAGGCCCTAGTCCCCAATATTAACCCATCCCCAGAGCCCCCCTCCCCCCAGTGCCAGCCCTGTCCCCAGAGCCCTCCCATTACTAGCCTTGCCTCCAGAACCTCCCTGTGCCAGCTCCCCACCCTGGATGCCCCTCTGCCCCCTACTGTCAGCCCCCCACCCCTTACAGCTCCCATTACTAGCCCTGCCCCCAGAGTCCCCCAGTATTAGCTTCACGCCCAGAGCCCCTCAGTACCAGCCCTCCCCCTCAGTGCCCCCCAGCACTAGCCTCACCCCCAAGTCCCCAGTGCCTGTGCTGCCTCCCAGCCACTACCTGAGTGCTGCTTCGTGGGCCACGGTTGCTCTAAGCCGTGCTCTGCGTGGCCCTCCTGCTGTGCAGCAAACTGCTCGTCCGTGTTGTGGAGGAGACCTGGTCCCTGCATGGTGCTGGTTGGCTAAGACGCAGGACAGGACACGCCTCTCCCAACAGCCGTGGCAGGAAGGGATATGTTGGGTAGTGTACTACCGAGGCCCAGCAGCCAGTGGTTTGTAGCCCGGCATAAGTCCGCGGACCAGAGGTTAGGACCACTGTTCTATAACAATGAAAGGGAGGAGGGAAGGACGCAATATTGACAATGGCCACTGGGAAAGCTATATTTCAGAATGATCAGTGGGAGCAGCCGCACCACCAAGAGAGTGGTCGGATGAGGCTTGCCATCTTGCCTGTCACCAGACCAGGTAAGGAGCCTCCTTTTCCCAAGCCCTTCTCTCCCTCCACCCTGGTCCTTGGCTAACAGTTTAGCAGTTTAGAGGGTAATAGTTTGCTTGCTTACTAGATCATTGGTCGGGGTCACCAGTGTCGTCAGTCAGGCATTTCCAATGGGTTCCTGACAGGTCTTCTGTTCCATCAATAATGATAAACTTTTGGCTGTTTTCATGCTCCCCTGTTTACTGTGTCAACCATGCACAACTAGTCAACATGACAGACTCCGAAAAAGCCCCCCAAAAGCACAAAATCAAATAAGGATCAAAAGCACCAGGCACGGTTTATTGCCAAGTGAAGTACAGTAATTGTTGTCAGCAAACAAACTCACCGCTGAGCCACTACGCATTTGTACTCCATGACAATGAAATAGTTCAGTCAGTACTATGAATCCAGTATTGACCCTGCAGCTAAACAAAGACAGTTCTTTGGGGTACACTTGCATACTCAGGTTCAGACAACTTACACATCACTCCTGACATATCCGGTTGCAACCCTCTGTTGCCTAGTTATCACCTCTTACCGCACAAAAGGGGGAATTCAGTTACTATTCATCATGCTGTCAATTTCTACCCGGTCCTGAACCTGGGTTGGTATGTATATTATCTGTGGAAAGGTAATTGGCACCAAGGTGTTTCTTAACTAAATGTTCTATTGCAATCCCTCTGAAATGTGCCTAAAGCCTGTGCCTAGTACCTGCTAGGTATAAGTGTGTGTATAATATCCCTGTTCTTGCCAGCTTGTGTTAGCAGGCCCTGCCTCTTGCTCACAGCTTAACTCTGCTTTAGATTAACAGAGTCTTGGCCATTGCTGTCTAGGCCTCATACCCGGCCTATAATATGTGGGCTTATGTTTCAGTGCCTCCTCTTACTACAGGAGGGTTGGGGTGGAGGGAGAGGAAGGAACATCCTGCCAGATGGGACCTCTCACTTTTGCACCCCCCAATGTTCCCAGCCTTCTGTACCCCCTATATCCTCAACACCTTGTCCTGACTCCTGCACCCCCCCACACTGCCAGTCCCCCACCCTGAAGAACTCAGCAAGTTCTTCTAGTTTATTAATAAACTGTATTTAGAGAAACTGGCATACAACAAATATCAGCAATTGCTAAACTGAATTTAAGATTGCAGTTAACTTGAGATAAATATGAATGCTGAGGAAACATCACCTGGCCATAATGGTGTTTATTTCTCAAAAAACAGTTTTGTGAAATAGCGCGTCCTAAGTGTGCATGAAACCAGTAGGAATTCCTTACAATCATTCTTTGTATGTTTACACCTTGGGATTTGCAAATTGAAATGCACTTAAAGTATAGAATTCTGTGTAGTTTTATTGAGACGGAATTCTGATCAAAATGCATACTTTTTAATATGATGTTTACATAGTGAATTATTCCAGTTTAGCAGTTTATGTAAATACAGATATCTACTTTCCAGAATTATACATGAAATATCAAAAGAATACATTTCTTTCTACCTGTCTTGCACATCTCTGAAGTGCTAGACAATCTACTCACTTGGCTCGCTTCTCTAGCACGTAACACACAAGTTGTTCTCCTTATGCATCAATTGTTAGTCGGTGGGATCACTTAGGTGATTATTTTTAATATACAATGATCCTCTGAGGCTGAAAGTCCCATCACCGTAACATCAGAATATTACACTTTATACTAGCTGTTTAAGATTTCCAACTTAAAATAGCAACTTCAGTGGAAGTGCTAGGCTGTGTGCTAATTAATGTATGAATTAAACACAGATTTGGTTTGACAGAAATGTCTTATCAACCTTTCTTAGGAGATTTACAAGTTGGGAGGTTAAGTATGTTACATCTATGTACAGGCAGTCCCCGAGTTACGCGGATCCGACTTGTGTTGGATCCGCAGTTACGAACGGTGTTTGCTGCCCGTCTCCCTGGTCTGTCCCGCTGCCGGCGTCCTCAGAGGCTTTGCTCCCCGTCTCCCTGGTCTGCTTGTCTCCAGCAGACCAGGGAGATGGGGAGCAAAGCTGCGGAGCACACGGGCAGCGAACAGCCCAGACGCACCACGGCTGTCCCGCTGCCGGCGTGTTCCACGGCTTTGCTCCACGTCTCCCTGGTCTGCTGGAGACCAGCAGACCAGGGAGAC